AGGAAACAATGAATTTAAACTAAAATAAGAGGGCTAGGGATGAAGCTCGGTTAATAATGTTTGTCTAGATGCATAAAAGCCATGGGTTTGATCCCCAGCACTGTATAAACCAGACATGCAGCTGAGCCAGGAGGATTGTAGTATATGTAGTTAGAGACTGTCTCAAAAAAGGGGAGGGGAATTGAGTTATATTACATAAATGAGAATCTGATGAGGATTTTTAGATTTAATATAATAGAAAAGGGCCATTGGAGATATTAAAAGGAATAATGTAATCATTGTAATAAAAAATGGTCTGAAAGAATATTCAGTTTGAGAAGCCTGAGGTAGTAAGTGAAGTTAAGGAAGCCGGGTCCAAAACTGAAGAATTAACAGGGAAAACCTGAGGGAGGGAAGTGGGAACACTTAGAAGTCAGCAGAGGTGACTGGGATAAAAAGTCTTTCAAATGGAAAATATTCAAGACTTCTGAGACAGGCTGAGATTGTTAGGGCAAGTTCGATTTTTAAATAACAGGAACTTTGATTTTAATTACATTCCGGAGGCATGAGTGGGCTCCAGTGCAGCGACAAAACACTGATCTCGCCTCCTGAAATGTGAAAATCTTTCAATAAAATTTCCCTGGAGCAGGTCCCCTTTTCAGTGTTCATTCATTCAGAAAGCATTTCCTGATGCTTTACTGTGTACCTCAGATTCTGTATATGCTGTTGATAATAGTGGTGGCTCCTGCCTCCACGGAGCTTATACTGTAATTAAGGAAATGAGAATAAATAAGGAAGCAGCAAATAAAAATAAACTGTTGCATTAGATTACAGTGTGAGAAAAGGAAGTAAAAATGGTATTTTAATAATTCACTGATAGAAACAAGCCTGTTATCTCTGATAGAAAACAAGCCTTTGCATAAAGAAAATGAAGGCAGTAGAGGAACAAAGTCTACAAAGTTATCAAAGCCTCTATAACAAAGTAACATTTAAGGTGAAACCTGAAGAATGAAAAGCTTACTAGGTGAACGGCCAAAGAAGGACCTTCGGATGTAGTCAGAATAGCAGGTGGGGACAGGAAGACCATCCAGATCCTTGCAGGCGTGAAAAGGTGTAGAGAGCCACTGGAGACTCCTATGTAAAGAACTATGTGGTACTTTTGTAATCAGATCGGTCCAGTGCCAGCACTGGTCATTGCAGACTCAGTCAGAGCCACAAATACCAAGTGAGAAAGGTGCCCTTTTACTACCTCTGCTTTGTTCATGCAGATCTTGTGAACTCCTTTTCAGGCTCCTGCCTTTTCCAGTGTGAGCAAGTACTTATGGCAACTCATATAAGCCTCTCTGTCCTTGATATAATATAGTAGTAATTTGTAGCCAACTTGTCTTAGAAATTCACACCTAATCCTACACATATTCCTCTTCCCAGTGGCCTGTATAACATCAAGAAAACAAGTGTAAGGTTTATTAGGTTTTGATGCTCTGTAGAATTCAAACTCTGTACAGTGCTTGGATAGGTATAAAACTATCACATAACCACTGCAGAATGTGGTACAGTTATGATTTTTCTATAGAGATTAATTCAGTAAATGGTTTTGTTCACTTCAGTTAAAATTGAAATTTGTGCATGCTCCAATGTACCTCAAGTTTTAATTCTTTCTCCCTACATGTTGAGACTTTGTCTTCAATTCATATTTAGAAGAAAAGATGTTAAAGTAAGAAAACTATTTCTACACAGTGATAAAATCTTATTTTACACCAAGATTTGGGTTCTTCTCACTTCCATAAGCTCTTAGACTTGAAACTAGAAAATCTCAAGATTTGTTTTCCCTTTACAATTATATCCTCTCCATTCTTAGCATTTTCCAGGACTTCTGCAGTGAGAAGCCTGTAAGATGTCTACCTTTCTTCAGCGATGTTATGCTTGTGTTAGATCCACTTCAGTGAGCCACTGACCATGGGGAGGTGTAAATCACCTGCTCACCTGACATTCAGGCTGTCCTGGCAGGAAGAGCTAACTTTACATTTCAGTCATTCTCTAAAACAGCTGGATTATTTCTTATCCCAAATGCTTAGGGCCATATAAAGTTTTGGGGTGTTTCAGATTTCAATTTTTTTGACTAGGGATTTACAGTCTACAGCTAAAATGATGTAAAATCAATATGTAGTTTCCATATGTATATATATATTGATTACTGGAGAAAAGTACTCAAAAGTATAAACTTGCTTGTTAAATTCACTGATTATTTGATTGTTTAATTTAGTTTCATCTTACCATATGAAGGAAATTAGTAATTCCGATGAAATATTTTCTTCCTCTACCAGTGTGGAAAATCACCATTTATTTTTAGCCTTTTTAAAGTATCCATGTTTGGGGGTAGATGTGTGCACATACGTGTTGAAGTCAGAAGTCAATATCACACATCTTCCTCAAGCACTCTCCACATTTTGTTCTGTTTTAGGCAACGCCTCTCACTGAATCTAGAGTTCATCAGTTTGGTTAACCAGTTAGCCTCAGGAATTCACTTGCCTTCTTTCCCCAGCTCTGAGGTTATAGAAGCATGCCACAGCATCCATGGATGTTGGAGATCTAAAGTTAGGTCCTCATCTGAGAACATTAATTTTTCAAAAAAATTATTTTTAATATTATCATGTACTAAAACCATATTTTTTCTAATGGTGTGTATTATTTTCTTTAGTTTATATTTTTTGTTTTGCTCATTTGTTTGTTTTATTTTGAGTCAAGATTTCACTATATAGCCTTGGCTGTCTTAGAACTCACTGTGTAAACCAGTCTGAACTCCCAAAGATCTCTCTGCTACCTTCCACATGCTGGGATTAAAGACATAGGCTACCATGCCCCACTTCAAAGAGAAAAACTTTTAAATGTTTGCTTTTTACATTGTTCTGTGAATTTTCTGGGGGTTTTGGGTTGGTTTGGTTTTGTTTTTGTTTTTTTCGAGACAGGGTTTTTCTGTGGTTTGGAGCCTGCCTGACACTCACTCTGTAGACCATACTAGTCTCAAACTCAGAGATCTGCCTGCCTCTGCCTCACGAATGCTTGGATTAAAGGCATGTGCCATCACTACGCGGCTATTATCTGTGTTTTTTAAGGCGTGTGTGTGTGTATAATACTTGCATGCAGGTGCTCATGTAGGCCAGAAAAGGAACTCAGATCTCATGGAACTGGAGTTATAGGCAGTTGTGAGCTGCCACGTGCTGGCAACTAAACCCAAGCCCCCTAAAAGAACAACAAGTACTCTTAATTACTAAGCCTCTTTCCAGCATTTATCTGCTGTTTCTAGATAACACTGAAACTTAAGCATGATTTTCAGATATATAGTGTATAATCTGCTAAAAACAAATTCTTTACCTCTGTTTTATGAGGATGTATTATGAGTATGTTAATAACAAAATAGACTCTAGGGGCTAAAGATAAGACTTGGCGGTTAAGGGTGCTTACTGCTTTTGCAGAGAATGCAGGTTCAGTTACCAGCTCTCGCTGGCAGCTCACAGCTGCCTTTAACTACGGCTCCAGGGATCTAACACTTTCTGGCCTCTGAGGCCACCTCTACACATGTGGTACATAAACTCATGCAGGTACACACACCTACGTGAGTTTATATTTATTTATATACATGTTTATATGCGTTATATATACATAAATTTTTAATTCTTAAAAAATAAATCTAGTGAAAAGTTTGAATGAAATATTTCTGGTAACAGTCATAACTGAATAAATAAAGTGGACAAAACTATCTCTAAAAAACTTCAAATTTGTTCTAGAATTATTTTTGGAGCTTTTTGTTTGTTTTTTCTTTGTTTATTTTGTTTTGATTTTTTGTTTGTTTGTTTGTGGGGTTTTTTGGTTAGTTTTTTGAAACAAGGTTTCTCTGTGTAGTCCTTACTGTCCTGGAACTCACTCTGTAGTCCAGAATAGCCTTGAACTCGATATTCGCCTACCTCTGCCTCCGAGCACTGGGATTAAAGTCTACCACCATTTGGTCATGCTTTTGGTTTTTTGACCCAGGGTTTCTCTGTATAGCTTTGGATATTTTTTAATCTAAAACAGTTTGGTAGACTTTATTATCACATAATAACAACTAAATGAGTGTAGCATGAGCACAGAAACTGACTTACATAGAACAAACTCAGTAACTCCACAGCAGACCTAATATAAGTAAAATAAAGTAAGTATATCAAATTAGTGACAATTTAAACTGTCAGGGGAATAAGTTGTTAAATTTAGAGAGAGAAAAAATAGTTGTCTGTATACCCTACTTCAAAATAAGAACACAATTAAAAATATAAGTGTCTTGCCTGAATACATCATCTGTAATAAGAAAATGTGGCAGGTATAAGAGGACTAATGTGGTAAATGTTAGATTAAAAACAAAGTCACAAACTAAGGAACTGTTTTCATTGTCTTTTTAGTTTTTATTTTTCTTTGTTTTTAAGAAGTAATGTTTTTAAGAAGTAAGCAAGCCTGTTTACTTTGCATTGCTTTTCTACAGGAATGATTTTCAAATTACATACTGGTTCAACCATATTGGTTACTAAATATTGAAATATATTCTTAGTGGTTAGTAAAGAACTGTTGGGTTGCCCAGTTTCCTCCTGAGGAGCTCCACCTCTGCCTTTCCCCACATCCAGCACTAAAAGATCATCTCCCCACGTCCAGAAGCATTCTTTAGGATCTTTTCGCTACTCTTGCATCCCTGCTGATTCCTGGTGTGGGGGACTTTACTATTGTTTTAACAGTTTTTTTAAGACTGCCCTGGTTTTCTTGATGTTGTAAATGAGGCATTTTGTATGTATGTTCTGCCCTCTGGGATGTCTTGATAGCTCTAACATTCCTGCGATGTTTATTTGTGTAGCCAGCTTTCAGAGTTTTGTTATTCCTGAAAAGCCCTAACACCATCATACTGCAACTCTAATAATCTTTAACTGTTTCCCCACCTCTATTTCTCTCAGTGATGACAGTTTAAACTAAGTTATGCTATGTCTTGTTGTTCCTTCCAGTTCGCTTTGCACCTTATAGACCTCCAGATATCTCCCTGAAGCCCCTACTCTTTGAAGTGCCCAGCATCACCACAGAGTCAGTGTTCGTTGGCCGAGATTGGGTATTCCATGAGATTGATGTTCAGCTTCAGAGTTCAAATGCCAACGTGAACCAAGGAGTAGTGATCGTGGGAAACATTGGGTTCGGAAAAACTGCCATCATCTCCAGACTGGTGGCCCTCAGCTGCCATGGTACACGGATGAGACAGATTGCCTCTGATAGCCCACACGCCTCCCCTAAACGTACGTATTCCTTCCTAAAAAAGAAAAAAAAATCTCACTTTATGTCTCTAAAATATTTTCTGGCATTTTTATATTAGAGCATATATCCTTTTATTCCTAATCTGTGAAACCTGAACCATGTGAAGACCATTAATTCAAAGTTCAGAAAAAGATCATAATATGTAACATGAAGGGCCGGCTTGTTGGGGTTTCTATCCCGCCTGGTACTCCACAGCCGGCATGCCCCAAAGAGAAAATCACACACAGGACTCCATAAGATTATAAACTGATTGGCCCATTAGGTCAGGCTACTTATTAGCTCTTATAACTTATGTTACCCCATTATCCTTATCTACGTTAGCACATGGCTCAGTACCTTTTCCAGCGGGGCAGCTTACATCTTTCCTCTCCGGTGGTCTGGGCAGAACTGGCAGAGGAACCTCCCTGCTTCCCAGAATTCTCCTGTTCTCATTGCATCACCTCTACTTCCTGTCTGGTTGACCCACCTATACTTCCTGCCTGGCCAATCAGCGTTTTGTTAAAATACATGATTGACAGAATACAGATAATTCTCCCACACCAATAATATTCTGTGTATATCTAGCCCACATATCCAATAGTCTCCAAAGTGTATCAGGAAAAACTTTTTTGTGGATTAAATGTATGATGCATACATGTTGGTCCATCTTTTGGCTAATGACTCCAGCAATTGCCTATAGTCATTTGTATCTGTCATTGTCAGGGATTGTACAGTCTGTGCCCTCTTCTTGTTAAATGACAACACAGTCTGTTTGTGGTCTTCATTTCTTTGCAACTGATATTGATGTCACACTGCTTGAACTTGAGCTCCACTGTGTCCTTGTGGAAGGCTGCCGGAGTTCTCACGTTGTACCTGACTCCACTGTCATCACAAGCTTTAGTGATCACCCCTGGGATCTTGATGGCTTCTTTGTAAAACACTCACATAGTAGTTACTACGAACTACATAGTCTTCACGTGCTTACGGATGTTTATTTGTGCCATCATTTATAGACTCAGTGAGATAGTTCCTGTTTTCTTCATTTCACAGATAAGTGATCTGAGACTCCAGGTTTTTACAGCCAATATATAAGGAAGCAATGCAGCCTAGTTCCAGAAGCAGTCATTCTCTCCCCCTTTTCTCAGCTGCCTTTTCTTATGGCAAAGCTCATTTAGGGACAAAAGTAAATGGATGTGTGTAAGAGTTCTTCCTGTATAAACCAATGTGCCTCTCCTTTATGGTTGAAAACAGAACAGGAAGGGCTTGCTCTGCTGATCCTAATCAATCATACAGCCCACCACACACTTTATATAAAAAAAAACCCACTGGAAATGATTCAGGGAGACTGTAGTAGTCACAGGGTCTAGAAACCTAACAGAAACTCACTGAATACCCTCCAAACATTTTAACTTTTAAAACTGCTTAGCAGGTCCTATATCAAAGAGATCATTATCTCTGGTACATGTAAGAATTCCTAACATGTAAAAGAACCTGGTATCTAAACAGACAACTTACTAAGATTATATGGTGAACTCTTATCTTAGAGGAATACCTTGCTCATGTTCCCAAATGAATTGCTTCTAAGGTAGACTGTCATCATACATTGAGAGTCCAGAACTTGGGATTGTGCTGCAGCATTCAAATTGACTATATGGTACTTTGTGACCTTAAATTCTTTGGATCTCAGTTTTGTCATTTGCAATCAAAGAAGTATGACTAGCTGACTGTTGAGAGATGCTTTGAGGAATAACAATATAGCTCAGTGACAGAGTACTTGCTCAGCATGCCTGAAATGGAGTTCAGTCCTTTACAAGGCAAATAACAGTGATAATGAAGTAGAGGAGCTTTAAAAATAGCTCTTGTGCTGAAATGTTGAGTCAAAGAACATGCCTTCATGGTTAGAAGTGAATTTCCACACCTATTCCAGTGTTTCCTTCAAGTGCTTACATATCTACCACACCATACTACTTCTTATCTGAGTAGTCCAGGAGTTAAGCTGTTTAAGTGTGCCAGCAAGAAAACTGGCTGGCTAACACTTTCTCTGACTCTTCAGTGTATCAGTGTGGCAGATAGGAGTGGCAGGATCATGCCTAACAGAAGATCAATCTCAAAGCCAAGGACAGCTGCTTTGTCTAAAAGCAAAGTATCTGGGGTCCACACATCAACCAGGGAGAACAAGAGTAAATAGAAAACAGTCTTTATACTCTCCAAAGCAGATTTTTCAAAGGTAGTTTATTGTTATTCTCTAATAACTGTTGCCTTTTATCTCTTGGGAATCTCCAGAAACAATAAAACACTCCCCATTTATGAAATCATCTGTTTTTGCTGTAGATCTGTTAGTGCTGTAGATCTGACCCTTATTAACTTTCAAGACTTGAAAACAGTAGGAGAAATAAAGTAGATGCCACTGTCTCTGTCAGAGCTATACAGAACCCACATTGCTTTATGAAAAATATTTGTGTTTGTAATCTGTTGATAATTAGACCACCTTTTGCTTCTACCATCCTCAAATATCCTGTGTTCCTTAAAGAAGAGTCAAATATAGTGGACTGATAGGATACAAGCTATTTTTATTTTATCTTATTTTGTAACTGGAAAAATAAGATTTCTACATTTTATGTGTGATTTGCCTACAAGTATGTATGTGCACCACATGTGTGTTTTGTATCAACAAAGGTCAGGTGAGTAGATCACATTTCCCGAAACTGGAGTTACAGATGGTTGTAAACTGTCATGTGGGTGTTAGATTGATTCTGGGTCCTGAGTCCTTTGCAAAAGCAACAAGTGCTCTTAACCACCTACCCATCTCTCCAGCCTGCAAGCTATTCTTCCACATAAATCTGTTACTATATGAACTAGCAACATAAAAATATTACCTGAAGCAGCAGAAGTTAAGGAATAAGAATAATGTCAGAGGTTTGGCCTAATTTTCTATAGTTTAGCATACATTAAACTTGTGTAGGTTTATTTGGAATCCCACTGGCTTTCTGAACCCTCGGGCAGTGATGCTGTGATGTGGTTATAGTAATAATGAAAAACTAGAAAGTTATAGAGCTTTTGACTTATCTGTGTGTGTCATCTGTTCTTTCTTCTGCCTCCTCCACACTGAGCAGTACTGCTGCAAAAGATGTGAGCAGTTTAGCCTGAGGTACTTTACTGCGTAGCTCTCCTTCCCCCACATTCAGCTCCACAGCCTGCCCCCTCCTTGTCATTTCCCTTAGAAGGCAGGGAAAAGCTGTCAAGGCAGACACTAGCCTGTCATCCTGCTTCCCGCCTACTTCACAGATACGACACCACCATCATTCTCTGCCTTCATCATTCTCCCCCCAGCACACGCAAAGAACAAAAACATTTTGTGAAAATAGAGTGTTGTGTAATTCAGATATTATTGCGTCCACTACAAGCTTACTCAATGTAGTAGGTAGAGAAGTTCTGCCTAATACAGGATTGTATTTTCCTGGAGGTCCTAATGTAGTTACCTTGACTTGACATTTACCAACAACTGCCAAACAACTGCTCAGTTAAGTAATCCCTGCTCTACTTGGTTCAGAAATCTATTTTGCTAGTTTGCTGAGTACACTGACTTATCCATTAACTTCTATTTCTACTGTTCTCTGCATGCCAAACAGAAAGTAACCCACTCATCCAAAAAGGAGAATAGCCAGAGGACAGAGTATTTAGACAGTAATTACTCAAAAACCAAGTTCCAAACAAGGGGGCATAGAGCCATGGACAGGAGTGAATCAGCAAATGTGATACAGTCACTAAACTTGAACTCCAGGTGTCACACATTTCTTCAGCCCTGCTTCACTGCTGTCTCTTGTACCCTCAGCTCTGCATTGTTGCAGGGTAACCAAAAGCTCTATTCCATAACAGTAGAGTGGAGGAAATCTAAATTCACTTTTACTGGCGCAAAGTTAAATGATACTACTTTCTTCTGTTCTTTATTGTAGCTGTTGGCCACCCAGTAACTTCAGTTTTGTTTTGTTGGTTCTTGGTTTCAAAATATTTTCTTTCCTGTTTGTTTCTTTCATGAATATGAATTTTCCTTTTTTAATTTTCTAATACTTTATTACTTACACCACTTGAAGCTTAGTTTTCATATAGTTTTCAGTGACATCATAACACATTACCATGTTTTAAACAGCCCTGGTGTGTCATATTCCAGTTCTGTGACTCAGAAGTCTGGTTTCTTTGTTTAATCCAAAGATAGTTTTAAAACTAACAAGAACCAGTGAAAAATTTGAAAGTTTCTTCTCTTTTTTAATCTTATTTTACCCACTTAAAATGCTCAATTCCTAGCTGGGCATGGTGTACACATAAAATCCCAGCACTCAGGAGACAGAGCAGGAAGATCAAGGAAGAGTTTGAGGCCAGTCTGACAGCAATGTAAGGATCAGCCACAGACAGATAAAATGAGCATAGTGTGTCATCATCTGAGCAACAAAGTAAGTATCGGTCTTAAATAAAGAGACTAATAAATGAAACAACTGGATAATGGATAATAATGATAAATAAATAAAATGGGAGTAGTATGGCATACCTGTAATTCCAGGGCACAGGGAGCTGAAGCAGGACGATTACTGTCAAGTTCTGTATGAGCCTAAACGTAACGAAATCTGCCTAAATAGCAATGCTCTATCTCAGAATAAAGTGAAAAATTCAGTTCTGCATTTTAATATATCCAAATACTGTATCAAAGTCACCACAACCTAATTTTAGAACATTTGATCCTACTATAAGAAACTTGTATTTCTCAGCAGTAAATCCCTACTTTCCTTCAAACTCCCCATCTCCTACCCCCAAAAAGCCCTACTTTACCTATCGGTATGGATTTCCCCATCTGAATGTATATTTTATATAAATAGAAGCACATACTGGAGATTTGGGGGCTGGTGTGTTATCATGTGTGTTGCAGCGTGTGTATGTATTTCACTTCCTTTCTTCATCAAGTAGCAAGCAGTCATTGTGCTTATCCATTCATTAATTGATGTACATCTGACTTGTATAGTTGATTTTCTATCAGCTATAAAATTTGCTTCTCTAGACATTGATGTTCAAATTTCTATTTATAGACGTGTGTTTTTTACTTCACTTGGGTATATAGTTAGGAATGGAATTGCTTGGTCATAGAACAAAATGGAATTTAATATGCCTTTAGTCTAGAGCAGTGGTTCTCAACCTGTAGGTCCGCGACCAGCATACCAGATATCCTGCATATCAGATGTTTACATTATGATTCATAACAGCAAAATTACAGCCATAAAGTAGGGTCAAAATAATTTTATGGTTGGTCATCACCACCACATTAGGATCATTATTAAAGGGCCACAGTATTAGGAAGATTGAAAACCACCAGTCTAGAGTTTTATGATTCTCTGATTAAACATCTCATCTTTTTAATTCAGATGTAGATGCCAACAGAGAACTACCGCTCACCCAGCCACCTTCAGCCCATTCATCTATTACCAGTGGAAGCTGCCCAGGAACTCCAGAAATGCGTAGACGGCAGGAGGAGGCCATGCGAAGACTTGCCTCACAGGTACAATAGGATTCCCAAACTGGGAGTCTGCTAGTTCCATTTTAGCACTAAAGCAAAGATGGGGAGATTCTTAGAAAAAATATGTAAAAGTGTCCGGGAGAACATGAAGAAAGGCTTCTCTTTTTCCTTTGTTTTTGTTTTTCTGTTCCTATTTAAAAAAAAAAAATACTGTGATGGAATGAGAAACTTCAAGACTTAGAACCAAAATCTTCTAATGAGTTAGATAGGGGTGTTAGACGGTTTAGTCAAAGTCACTGTATAAATAAAGAGTAGTTTGCATTTTTATTACTGGTTCATAGTTCTTCCTACTGTACCATATAGTCATGTGTGTGTATGTATGTATGTATGTATGTTTTCGAGACAAGGTCTCTCTGTAACTTTGGAGCTTGTCCTGGAACTCACTCTTGTTGATCAGATTGTCCTCAAACTCGTAGAGATCCGCCTGCCTCTACCTCCCAAGTGCTGGCACTAAAGTACTGCGCCACTACTGCCCAGAATCCATAATATTTTTAATTTAAATTGCCTATCTTTCTCAAAATAGCATATGTACAAGAAAAACAAATAATGCTCAAAACTATCAGTTGACTTCTTTACCCAGCCAATCAACCCCCCAGAAAAACTGTACAGCCCCAGTCTTTTTTGATAGAGTTCTTCAGCATTATCTTCAACCTTTTCATTAAAAAAAAAAAGAAGAAGAACACAAAAAACTTTTTGGATATCATAGTTTTAATATTAAATGACTCTTTCCTTTTTCTACAGTTGGTCCCCTTGTTTATAAAGCATTTTACAATTTTATTCCTCTAGTGTTCTCTGTTTGTCTGTCCCTCTCCCCCTCTCTCTCTGCCTCTCTCTCCTTCTCTTCCTCCCTCTTCCCTTCTAGGAGAGGAGGGGACAGGGAGGCTGGGAAAGTATGTGAGGAGAGAGAGTAGGAGAGAAAGAGAGAACTCATGTGACCAAGTTTGCTTGAGTTTACAAAGGGCATTTAGATGAGCCATTCTTTATTGGAAATACCCAGAAATTGGTGTCCATACATTTTAGGAGATTTCTTTCTTAAATTGTTCACATCCTTTCACAAAGAATTCTCCAGCCTTTTACCTAGAGAATATATATACTGCATGCCAGTGTTCTAGAGCTGGTTAAAATACCACTGAGGTTGTAGTCGTCACAATGCAAATTTTACTGAAGGCTTTTTTTTTTTCAGTTCTGCACCCAGCCTCTACTTTGCTGTTTTTGGTATAGCTAAGCTTACATTCTCCCAGTGTCTCTAGTCAGTAAACATCTCTTCTCTAGATGCTGAAAAGGTGTTCACCTGGGTAGGGAATCCTTTCCTAACCTTCATCCTTCAGAGTACCTGCTATTTTTAATTCTTGTGCTTTTCTGAAGTTTCACAGATGGTCTGTAATACTGCCAGTTTCAGATTTCCGCATAGAAATCCGTTCTAAGCAAGGCATGGTGGCTCTTAATCTCAGCACTTGGGAGGATGAGTTAGCGGGGCTTCTAGGAATTTGAGGGAAGACTAAATGACAGTGGGGTCCAACCAAGGCTGTAGAGTGAAACTCAGTGGGCTGGGTGAGGTGTTTATCATTCCTATTAGTACACATTTAAATGGACTTCCAGAGCATCCCCAGATTTTCCTCATATTCATTGTCAGCTCATTGTGACTGTAGGAGACATCTCTGCTTTCTTATAAACAGGGTGTCCCACCGTTCTTTAGAATAATGTAAATAAATACAGAAATAGATGAATGTTGAAGAGATCCCAGCATTGCATCCAGTTATTCACTTAGAATGTCCAGCAGTCCAGAAATGAGTCACACAACAGAAATGATCTGCACTGTGCAGCCTACATTCTTGTGGTAGGAGAAAGACAATACTCAAATAAACACATAATACACCAGATGGTGGTAGGTGCTAAGAAGATAAAAGATATCCTATCTGCTTTGTTACAGTTACTCCCTCTTTCACCAAGGAAAGAAATCCCAAGTTCCTTATTTTCTATATTTGAAAAGCTTTAAGTATAAGTAGGCTATTAGTGACTGTTATCCTTTCTGGAAGAGTGATCACATTCTAAATTTCATGATTGGGTCACCTTTAAACAAAACATAAATAAGTCTGTTTATTCCTTGAGATGGGCTGTTTTTAATGTTTTATTAAGTATTGTATAATAAGTTTCCCCTTACATTTGATGTTTATGTTTAATATTCAAAAATGTTAAATATTGTTTAAGTTGGAAATTGGTGGCTATTTTTACATTAAGTTCAAAAATTTTAGAATTCTAAGAGCAACATACAAATACATTTTGCATGTTTAAGTTTATGTTAAACATTGTATAAGAAATGGCTCCTAGTTGAAAAATGAATATTATCCTAGTAATTGTGCCACATTACAGTTCAGCTATAGAAGCTTGTGCTGTGGGAGCACAGAGCAGAAGCCAGCAGCCTTGCTTCTCACCATAACCAACCAGTAAGTGGACATCTGACTTTTAAATGAGATTCTCAAGTCAGTATTTAAAAAAAAAAAATATCAAGAGCCTCTTGATTTGAGAGTCCCTGATGTCAATTCCTCTATATCAGTAATTGCCACTGGTAGTTCGTAGTGTCCTTGCTGCTTCTTGTGCTAATTAGTGGGAGACACTGAAGACTTGGTCAGCTTTAAAACAGTCTTGTACACTGAAGAAACACTTTCCACTTGAATTGTAACAGCTTTTGCTAGATCAGCACCTGTCAGTCTGTCAGTTGTATCTCCAGTTAAGCTTGTCTATGTTCTAAGCATAATCAGTGGAGAGGCACCGAAATTCATTCGGGTTCTTTCGTGTGCATATAAATTTACCTAGAAAAAAAGTGAGTTTTCCATTTTTTATGCTTATTACTATGATACAGTCATATGCATAGAATTTAATATAGGATGGGTTAATAGGGCAGCAACACATTAGCATCTGTTTAGTAAAATTGTAATAAGTGTGGAGACTCTGAACTATTTGAGATTTTGTTTTGTTTGCTTTTTCTTAATCTCATAATATTCTAACCCTATGTGGTAGTCATTATTATCTCCGTTTTATACGTGGGAAACGCTGGCTCTAGTGATGCTTTTTCCAAAGCTATGCTGTTAATAGGTAACAGAGCTAGGATTCATAGCCTGTATGTGCCTCTGTAAGACTATTATCATTGTCTTCATTCTGTAAAAGATGGAACAGGTGCTCGAGAACTGGTGCCTTTAACCACTGCTGCTTTTCTAGTGACAAGAAGGATCTTTGCTGTGTATTCTTTTAGAAACTCTCTCAGTCATTGAATATGCCTTCAAAGTAAGAAAGCTGGGATGGAAGTTTTCACCTTCTCTGATTTTGCTGAGCTATAATTTTTCAAAAAAAAAGTTTCTTTTTTTGGCAACTATTTTTTTTATTAATTTATAAAAATTTCCACTTCCGTCCCTCCTCCCACTCCCCCCACTCCCTCTCTTCCTCCCTCTCCAGTCCTAAGAGCCGTCAGGGTTTCCTGCTCTGTGGGAAGTTCAAGTTCCTCCCCCCTCCCTCCAGGTCTAGGAAGGTGAGCATCCAAACAGACTAGGATCCCAAAAAGCCAGTACATGCAGACGAAACAAGTCCCAGTGCCATTATCAATGGCTTCTCAGACAGTCCCTGTGTCAGCCACATTCAGAGAATCCAGTTTGATCACATGCTCGTTCAGTCCCAGTCCAGCCATGCTTGGTGAGCTCTCATTAGATCAGTCCCCTTGTATCAGTGGGTGAACACACCCACTGTGTTCTTCCTTGTGTGACTTCCTTGTTCGTGTTCTCCCTCCTTCTGCTCCTCATTTGTACCTTGGGGGCTCAGTCCAGTGCTCCAATGTGGGTCCTATTCCATCTCAGCTTTCACCCAGGGACCCCTTTCTTTATTCCTCCCTTCCCCCTGGGGCCATCAAATCCCCCAGCTCAGCCACCTTGCTTGCTGGGACTGGGCTGTAAGTGCAACCCGGCAGGAGGGAGTTCCTGTGTTTCAATAGTCTGCCTGCGGGAAGGTAGGCCTCTGTCAGAGAGGTCCCTGCCCAATGTGGGAACCTGACCCGGTATCAGAAGATACAATAGAGAGCATTTGAAGGAAGAGATGGGCAGACGCCAAGGCAAGAATTCCTCCAATAATCTGAAAAACAACATGAAAACACCAGATCCCAGCGACCCTACAATAGAAGGACTTGAACACCCTAATCCAGAAGAAGTGGGAAAAAGTGCCATTATGAAAGCAATAGAGTCCCTTAAAGAATTGGATGAGAAATATTACCAAAAAAAGCCTCTATATGACTAACAGTTCTTATCATGTTAATGTTTAATCTTTAAGAAGACAATGCATATGAAATCAGATAATAAAGAAACCTATAACTTCTAAGATGTGTCATAAGGAATCAAAAACTGGGTTTTTTCCCCCAAAAAAGAATTTTTATGTAAGAAAGAACTCTATGTCGTTCTTGTCATTCCTGTACTATGTAAGAAAAATGTCAAGTGATCTTGGTTTTTGGAAGTGATGTTGCTAAAAGCAAAAGAAGCCATCATTTTGGCAATCTGGTAACATTAAGTATGTTGAACCTAATATGGACATGTTAGGCATAACACATAGGGAAGGTTGAGCAGAGGCAGGGAATATATGCAAGCAGTGTCATAAAGTTTAATTAGTATTGGTGTAGGTGTTCTTAGAACCGTGAGAACAAATGAGATCCAAGTCAAGCAGCAAGTAACCTATAAATAATGTTTTCATGTGTCTAAGGATTTTGTCTTCTCAAATTAACAGACCTGGATTTCATCTACATTCTGGATACAAGTATAGGAAAACAATCTTCTTGTATATTTTTCAACTTCAGTGTTTGTTATTTGTTTGTTTTTAATCTGCATCTTACACTAGGACGGTGCTTAAGTGTTAGTTACTATATCCCCAGCTCTTAATACAAGGGTTTAGCACATAAATTGGTGTTAAATGAATAAACTCTTCCCTATACTGAAACCAAATAGCCTTTC